GCGCTACCCCAAACTATAGTAGAGTTGCCGCGGTTGGAAGCAACGTTTGTGTCCTGCGGTTGAACTCGCGCCGTACCAGAGTTGCTTCAAGTTCCGTAGCTGGCATGTTTCTGCTCACCAACAGCAAAATATAAGGGTTATCGTGAGTCTCTTACTTTTTGTTAAACACTTACTTTGCTTCTTTCAACGCGCACTCAACCTTCCTACTTGACTGGCTTTGGTATGAACGGATGAGTTGGTGATGGAAGACCCACTGAAGGCACGGAACTCTGCGCTAATGAACTGCCCTCCGTTATCCGAAACCACTTCCGGTATTCCACGACGTGCAAATTGGCCCAGTAACTTATTCACCAATGCTTGTATATTGGTGGTAGCAAAGGCATACATTTCGAAGTACTCTCTGACATGCTCGACCAGTAGCAAATAAGTTTTCCCAACATGGAAGAGACTTTGCACTATAAACATCGGCCAGAGCCTGTCCGGAACGTCACGGAGCATCATTGGCTGTTTTGACTAATTTACCTCTTGTGTGCGGCATGCTACGTAATTTGAAATGTTATCGCCTATTTGACCGGAACATTAAGGCACGCGCTCTGGTCAAGCAATTGTTGGTTCCCAAATGGACGTGATAGACAAGCTCGAACATTGAACGTTGCAACGCCTTGACGCTTAATATCCTGTTGCCCTTGAATATCAATCCGTCTTGGGCGGTGAGTTCGTCGCGAAAATGAAAGAAACATGACCAGCTCTCTGGGGAGCATTTCTTTGTCCTCTGGCCAGCACTGTCGGGCCATGCACGGTTGGAGCTGCTTCAGTCGTTCCTCAGATTTTTGCATGAACTAAATCTGAATCTTCCTCTTCTTTGGGCGCGTCTGATAGATATCCCTTCGATAGCGTATCTGCGACTTGCATTTCGGGGCCAGGTGGATAGGCAATCTCTAGATCATACCATTGAAGGCGAATAAGTATCCTCTGCAGGCGGCGGGGAACAACATGGAGTGGTTTGTTGGCGATAGACACCAACGGCTTGTGGTTCGCCATTGCTATCCTTATTCCCCAAGACAGTGGGATTATCCAAAAAGAAGCAAGCTTTGGTTCGGGCAGCTGGAAACACAGAAGACTAAATGCCCGATACAGAAAGATGGGCAATTTCTCCTTGATCTAACAGTTACACTTCATTGCCAAGACCAATGCCATACAGTTGTCGAAGAGGATAGGCGTAGAGCAGATCTCATGTGAAAGGAACGAGTTTGTTACAATTGTGCGTCGCGGTACCAAGCACCACTCCACTTGATCGGTTGACTGGTGAATTCAGACAGACAGTAATTTCACAATATATCTGCCAACTCTGGAGCATTTAGCCCATTTTTTGCTACCTGCATGAGCCTGGAGACGGAGCCGTTGAATGCATGCCGTGCAAACAATCAACTCCCTGTGTATAATTGAATTTTCTATCAGTACTGTCCATGTAATAAATTCCATGAAACAGTCTTCCCATCTAAATTCCGATGGTATCCCACCAGCAGTCACAAACGGGAAGGGCTTGATATACCGTTGTTATTGCTGAACATCCGTTGAAATAAACCTGCTTTCCGGATCAGTGGTAAACTTCGCTCAGTATTCCCGGTCACAAGAGTGGCTCTAAACAAACATTGATAATTACTGGTCAATCCTTCATACACCTGTATTAGCCAGCTTATTAGAGAAACTGCTTAAGAATGTGTTGTGTCGGAACCCCACGATTGCTTCCACCCACTAACGGTAGTGAGAACACGAACGACCGGGTAAAAAACAATGTTCACGCCGCACGCCCAACCGGCCACCAAACGTCTGTGTGTGCAACTCAATGACATGATTCAAATTAGGGCGTGTACACAGGCTATGCAGAAAGGCTGACAATCGATCAATCAAAGCTAGTCATTCCCGGGCCGAAGGATCGATACGATGTCTCACGAACGAGCGAAATGTACAGAGTAAGGGAAAAACCATTAAGCATAAGATTCAGTGTCAACCCAAGCTAGTCACAAAAGTGAAGTAATAGAAACGTATGTGGGGAACCGTAAAAGAGGACGGGGTGAGTGGAATAAAACTCACAAAACAACGGGGAGTGGTGGAATATTCTTACCTCCGCTATAGAATGATATGATGAAATTCCTCAGTTCGCTGGAGTTGATAGATTCTTGGACAAACTATCTGCCAATTGCATTATCTAAACCATGTTTCACATTCTATTGGTTCAGCATACGCAATCATACTTCTGTTCCTGGACATGGAAAAGGTATCCGATTTAGTGCCCAACAAGCGGCAGGTGAGAAAGATTGCTTCGCTAGGAATCCGGGACCCACTAGGAGTGGCTATCATCTTGCCTGAGCGGGTTAACTCAGATAGTTATCATAGACGACCACGGCTCTTAACCGTGTCCAATCAATAGTGGTGTTATCCAAAGTAGTGTACTTGGTCCGTTACTGTTCCTGACATCAGTGCGGTTATTAGACATGGCAAGTCTTTCCTTTCTTTCTTTCTTTCTTTCTTTCTTTCCTTCCTTTCTTTCCTTTCTTGGCCGGTGGCCGAGTGGTTGGCACGTTTGCTTTCCAACCATAAGGTCACCGGTTCGAATCCGCGTAGGGGTGGGCGTCCTCGCGGTATACTCAGCCCGCGCGCGACTGGTGGTGGTCGCGCGGCAGCGAAGCGCCGTTACGGCGTATAAGCTGACACATTATTTTTATTTATTTTATTTGCAGATGACATAAAGATAGTCTACTAATTCCGATGAGCTGAACTCTAAGAACAATACTGCTCATACGTGAACAACCGCACTCTCTTGAGAATTAGTGTGACACATTTATGATGAAGTTCTCGGCAAAAAAATCTAGCATAATGTATCGGGTTTGTTCAAAACGCGGGGGGGGTCAATTGCACTCAACGACGAAAACCTTTGTGTACAGCTGTTTACCTGCGACTACGGACTCCGGTATTCTTGCACTTTCAACTTTTCAGAATAAGTTGAACACCAAAAAGCTAGGGCCAGGAAATCAGTGGCTAATATGCTGTATAAGATCCACATAATCCCAGCCAGATTAGAACTCTTCAGAATCCTCAATTGCTCTATTTTAGAATATTGCAGTATGCTTTGTGTTAGCATGAGGAAATCTGACAGAGTGCCTCTGGAATGTCTACGGAGGTCATTTACCAAATGTCTGCTAGGAACAAACCCAGTAAGAATTATCGGGAGCGCTGCTAACTAATCCAGTTCGATGGGATATGGCTACGAAGGTTTAGGCATAATCAGATACTTCTGTACAACATGATTCATCAGAACGCCAACTGCTGTTTGACTTTCTTAGCACTACAGCATAGTTCGACAACGAAGCTACGTAATAAGGAGTTTACCCTGAGTTTACCCGGGTGAAGGACAAATCTGCGGTACGCCAGTTTTCTTAACAGATATGCCATTCTGTGGAATAAGCTCCCAGTCACGTTCATATCATGTGAGAGCGTAAGAGCCTTTTGCGTTAAGCTCGCCAATTACCTTGACTTGAACACGATTATAGTCCCGTTCTCCTGGGAGAGAGCATTTGATGACTTGTTCCAAGAAAGTACAGACAACATTTACTGGGTGCAACAGAACAATTTCACTCAGTGTGGTACACCCTCATTGCTGTTACTATTCCCTAATCCAACTAGTGCACATAACTCGGTATCACTTAGCATAAGCATGACATTTGCTGTAAAATATGATCCGAGCCAAACGTGGACACAGTTTCTCACTCGATGAGAAGTATACCTATAATTATTATTATTTAGCATACCCCATCAATCCACTTTTGAGTACAGGCTTGGCGTTTCAGGTTTTGCAGCGCGCTTCTGTTGAATTTGACCTAGTTCAGATGGTGCAAGAGAATCGTGCCTGTTCGCGTCAGGCATCTGAAAATGCCATGCTTCAACTTAATCTTTTACTGAGGGCATTCACATGTCTTGGCCCTTCGATTTTCTCTCGGCTGCTCGAAGCTTGCATTAGGTCTCATTCGGAATACGCCATGCACACCTGGCAGCAGTGGTACAACCACGACCTCACCGTACTTAAGATGCAACAACTAAGGGAAACCAAGAAGGTAAGGGGTCTGTTTCATTTCCATTAGCAAATGATGCCGAAAACACTTGAAAACTACAGTGGACAATTTCGACGCTTGCGTGGTGATTCGATAATGACTAATTTGATCCTTAGGAATCCAAACAATGATCGTCCTCAACGTCTGAAGTAAATCACAACACCACTCTAAGAGGTCACTGGTTACACAGTGTATCCGGTTGGAGTGCCGCCGGAATTTCTTTTTACTTCAAGTGTGCAAACCACCATCTTCACTCACACTATCTCTTCCCACACACTGACAGTAACCAATTATGTCTGGGCTTCAACCGAACACTACCAACAAAAGTGCTCATTTTCACTTCTTGCACTTCAGTCATTAAACGTTTCTGCTGTAGAGTACCGATAGAATGTGCCTGAACTGGATTTACGTATCACATCGGTCCAAGGTAGAGGCACAAGAGTGGGCGTTTTCATTTCCATATTTTCTTATAATTTTTCATGGATCACATATACTATGATTGCTCCGTACGTTACTTACTGAGCACCCAATCAATTGGAATTTTAAACGATAGTTATGCAGCAGCACAGTTAGGTCAGTAGACACTTAAACTGAAGATTCACTATTACTTGATTTAAAGATTTCCCTCCAACTATCATGCAAGCACCTGGCTTTTGCCAATGATAAATCATTGTTCATTGTTCATGGACCCACATGAGTCAGAGTCTGCTAAACTATAGGATTGTTCTGCTTGGTTATCGGTGGATTTCGCTCATGAAAAATAGCAGCTTCGTTTTAACAGGACTTTGAATTTTTGTCATAAATATTATCCTCAGGAACCTTACTTGCGTTGATCATTTCGGGCAAAAACTAGTTCATAAATTATTTTCTTCGGTTTACGATATTATATAGATGACAGCAAGCTGAAAAGAACAACGCAATCCGCAATTCCTTTGGAAGTACCAAAAATGACCGAGTAAGTTAGTAACCTTTAAGCTAACAAACGTTGGTATTTCCTTTTCATCAGAGTCATAGTGCTCTTGATGCATTCGTGAATAATGTACATAATCGACAGCTCTTCACAGTAACTTCCAAGTCAGGTAGTTATCTACCTACCTGAGAAAGCACACCATCCGGTTTGCCTCTTGACTACTTGTCGCATCTCGCCGACACTGGCCGCGAAACCAACTTAGCTGAGTCATCCAAGGTGATCTATCAGGTACAAGCCGATCGATCAAAATGCGTTCGTAGGCGTTTGTTTGAATCTGCGGAGACCATCGCGAATCGACGGTACGAGCCAGAGTTGTGTGTTCAGAAACGGCTCGTTCGGACATTAAAACGGCCTTGGCCCACCCAAGCTGCGACATCCGGTCCGCCGCACTTGTGACCTAACGGATAGGCATTGTGCTTGATCAGTGATTGTGAACCAAATTTATCTTACCAAAACTTGTCAAACATTTTCTTGTTTACCACATAATTGTGCAAGACTGAAAGGGGATTATTGAAAACAATTTTTCGCCTGCATCGACTTTTAATCATCCAATGGGATTTTTATTGTTGTTATACACCATACGTCCTGCCTGAAATCATCAGTAGTGTGCATGCTTCGGTTCCAATAGGATCCACACCTTGTAATTTGCGTCACTAGGCAGCAGCTCTTGCCACTAAGCCCTAGTCACGGCGGCGAATGGTCATGACGTGCAAACTAACTTCGACACTGCGCAGCCCATTCTTACTTTACAAAGGCTGTAAAGGCTATGGTTTGTTCCAAGATCCACAGATTTCACTAGCAGTAACATTTTACAACAATGCATTTATATGCCGCAAAAGTGTTTTTATCTGTCCATGTTTAGCAGACCGTTCACGTAATTAATTGTTGCTCTTCATAACAAACCCGGAAAGGCACTAGATAATCATTTTGTCCCATCGAGGCGGTTGTTAATGTATGCACGTGAAGATCTTGCCACAAATAAACACAGCAGTAGGCTGAATACCATTATCCCATACATTGCTTGCAACATTCAAGCTCATATTGAGACCCACTCTAGTCTATTGCACTAGCATATAGTAGACACCTAGGCAAAACAGATGGAATCGATTTGGAAAAAATCCAGCGTTCATTCACCAAAACCATCATGGAGCGCTTATCAAAGCTTACCAATGAAGAATGATATTCTTAACTCCAGCTTGACTCACTCTGGATTCGACGTTTGAAAGACAACTCACTCTACTCTACAGCATAATTTACTCGCGAATCTCAAGCAGTATGACTGTTGCTTTGCAGATTACTCAACCTATCTCACTCATAATGTGAAATGTCTAATATTCTTACATAGAAACAAACAAAATATCCGCTTAAATTTCTTGGCGAGGTAGGTTTTTCTGCGGAATGAACTACCATTGTTATTAAGGACCGGACGGAACCACTCTATATGTAGATCTCATTTAAGAACTTTCGTTTGCAGTCAAGTTTATCAACCTTTAGGAATCCAGGAATACAGTCATGGAATCCGACCCGAACAACATCTGAAAAATCTAACTTTCCGATACTGTTACCCATTACATATTCCACAAAACATTGCATCACTCTTCCATACTGAATGCAGATCATAAGTGAAATGATAAAGCAACCCGCTATACAATTGATCGTTCCACAAAAAGAAATCTACCCTGCAAGTAAACTATACCTAGTTATGTATTTATTCTGCGCACTTTTACTGTTCAGTTCGCGGGTTTATTTCTCTTCAGTTCTGCGGTATTTTTTGTTATCCACGGTGTGATTGCGCGTGATGTGAATGTTGACAAGATGCCTAACTGCCGAAAAGCGCCACCTCCATTATGCAAGCTCCAGGAGACTGTTGGTTGTTGCTTGGGGAGACGCAGTGCATGGGCTTGTTGAATGTGCTATAATCAAAGCGTGTTTCCATGCACCCAGAGAAGATTGGGCTTCGGCCCAGCCACAGCCTTGCATACATCTGGTACGCAGGGTTCCAAAATTAGCTACACAGGAATGCTGCTGTTGTGCGTTTTGAAAGGTTGTGGACCGGCTCCTTGGCTTGCCTTCTAGTCTTATTCCTTCGAGTTTAAACTGGATATGGGGTGCGTGGTTGGAGCTGTGGGTGGTACAGCGTAAGCCATGTATGGTCCCTCTGTTGTCACAGATGTTTGGTGGCTGCCTTATGGAGGCCGAATTAACAAGCAAATGCAGAACCGGATGCCGCTAACCGATGGGTTGCTTGTGGGCGCAGGCATCCTGTGGCTCCTGTGGTCCACTCCGGAATCGGATGCAACCAGCTACGTGTGTGTAGCTGTGTTACTTGGGTCTGTAAATACACCGGCTGCACTCTTGTCCGTGTTTGATGGCGTCGCCAGTCTGAGAAGGGATGAATGAGGTCCGTGGAGTGGATATGATCATCTGGAGAAGCAAAGAACAGGGGCTTTACTTAGTAGCCAGTCCCATTCGCCCCATCTCAGTGTTATTAAACAGATGTTTGTAGCCTTTATATGAAAAAAGCTTGCCCGAGAAAAATCCACCGTATCCTGGACCACTGCCGCGGAACTATTTGCTGAAAGGGGTAAGCCTGGACCACTCAGTTACCCCACACGGAGGCATTTCGGCCAGCTAGCCTGTTTTTGGTTTGGACTATAGCACTGAACAGTGCCGTTCGGAATCAGCTGCACAAAAACACAGGTGGATAGCTTAAAACATATGTTACGTCACAAGCATTTAATCATGCCTATAACTGAAGATTTTCTGTCGCTTAGTACGGAACTGTGAGTTTGGTAGGTATGGCCAAATTTCGGTTTCCACATCATTTGCCTGTCTGTTGTATCGCAAGATACAGATGTTAGATTCGTTTATGATGATTCTTCAACATGATTGTGATTAGAAAACGTCTTTACGTTGGAGCAATCCGAATTTGATACAGATTGCTACTTCAGTTACTCAGATGAAAGCAATTATTGAGTAATTTCTTGGTTAATACTTTAATGACAGCTTGTTCTCAGTTGTTGCAGCTTCACCATCATTAGTAGGAAAACTCAGCACTTTATTGGTGGACATTTGAGCCAATACGTATTGGGTAATCCAGACTAAAATGGATTCCACCGACTGAGAAGCATCCGCGGTGCGGCCGCACTGTAATTCGGCCCTCGCTTTGCCCTCTGTGGCTACTCTAATTCTCCCCACACAATATTGTGTGTGCGCTTGTTCGAACCGGTTCTACGAGCTCTACTCAGTGCTTCCCAACTCTTGGATCTAACCTGTGCGGAGGATACTCTTGCTCCAAGTCCCAGTTTTCGGCATATTCTTTGCCGATTTCCACTTGTGTGACTACATCAAACCAGTTGTTCGGAAAAGATTTCGGTCTCATTCAGAAGAAGAAGCTGAGAGCTCCCAAACTACGCGGCAGCCATCCCTGTAAGTTGCAGCATAACAAAGTTACAGTCTTTTTGCTCCGGTCATCAACTGAACAGCTCTAGGGACACTTATTAGCGCTGCACTTGCATCGTCGCTTAAGGCAGGCCGACTAACACACGCTGCTGCTTCGTGTGGATGTGGGTGTTTAACTGCGAGTCGATTGATCGGTGAACCCGACAGTCTGCGCGTTACGACCATCCATCTCTACCACCCGACCTTTGTTCTGTTGAACAACTCTTAATTGGTGTGCGTATTTGACGATTTTGTGCGTCACGCCTGGTGCAAAGAACACTCATCGAGGTGAGCGCTTAGATAGGCCTTGCAGTAAACGATAAGAGGACGACTAGTATTCCAATGGTTCAACGTCGCCTAGGTTGCGCAGACAGTTGCAGTAAAGTTCTTAGGATCAGTGTTACCTGTTCCAGCTGCATTAGATCGTACCGTCCGCAATGTGTAGGCAAATCCGTCCAAGAAGTGAGACAGACAAACAAATTTGCTGACACAATTTGGTTTTGCCCAACATGTCAAGTCATTCCAGTTGTTAACTGTTTACCTCTGTTCATCTAAAGGTGCGGTAGAATGACTGAGATAATCGCGCATTTTGTAAATACTAAGATCAATCAAACGGAGGTAAATATGGCCACGATAATACCTCAACCAGCCATAGTAAGCTCTGAATCTAAGCCGAAGAAGAGAGCTTGAAGCTCTAACCGCACTGCAGCATCTGTGACTCTAAATCCACTGGGTCACCTGAATCCCATAAGTGGACAAACATCAAACATGCCTGTTTCCACTTCTCCAACCATAGACGCTTCATTTGGCGATTCAGCCATGACACCGACAGCTCAGAGCCGAAGGCAATCGGATGCATATAACAAGCAGGTAACGTACTCATCGATTGCGTCGACAAACACACCGGGAGCGACACACATAGGTCCATCTTCAGTACGGAGCACAGGTGGCACAAAGCAGCTTTCATTGTCAAATCCAGTGGTGCTTTCTAAACAATCCGAATTCCCAGTAAAATGTATAATGACGACACTCGCTAGACAAAACCACGCTGCGTTAACTCTTGTGTGCACCAATGTTCCCGATTCCAAATCTGGCACAATAAAAGGCAAGTTGCAAGAAGATCACAACCAGTGGAGCTCCATCTGCGAGGCGATTGATATCCGGGTTTAGCCAGCAATGTTGCAACGGGTAGCGCGTCACCCGACCTCAGTGCACTCTGGTGAACCTCGAATTCTTCGAGTAACACTAAACTCAGCAGATGAGACAGGCGCTGTCCTGCTCTCAGCAGTTCGTCTTTGCAACTCACCGAGTGGAGTACGCATATTACCTGATCCACCTTGGAAAGATCGCCCAAAAGAAGCAGTCCAGCAAAGCGGCATTGCTAATAGGGATAGCAAGAAACTAATATTTGTTCATGGTGTTCCCGAGCTTCTGAATTCTTTTGATTACGATGCGCAAACACATGACCGAGAGCAGTGGCGCTACATCTGTGAGGCACTCTCTGTTAACAATGTTATTGCCAAATCCCTGACAAGAGTTCCTTCAACACCTGACTACAAGGGCTGCGGTCCAAAACAAATGAAGTAATATTCCACACCGAGGGAATGACACAAGTTCTGCTAGATAGCTGGTTAGAGTTTCCAGCTAGGTTGCCAACAGAGATCCGTCTAAATGCGAAGGGCTAAAAGTCGGAAGCAATTCGATGGAAATTGCAAACGCTACAAATTCTTTATTTGCACAGTCCTGCGGACAGACCGACACAACAGCGCCCACGGCACACAACAGAACAGAGTCCAGCACGAGTAAAACTTTCGTTCAGGAACGCTGAATAATGCCATGCAACTTAACTGAAATTCATAAAGCAAAAAACTACTAATGGACGGCCACCAACGGCCGGCTTAAAAACTAACACAAAGTTGACATCCGTCAACGCACTCCTAATAACAAAAGCTCTATCTTGCAGGTATACAAACTCCCAAGGCTTTCTAAGTAAGTTGCTCGAACTTAGAGAACTCCATGTCTCTCAACCGCGGGACCTTGTCATGATAACAGAGACGTGATTAAACCTTGAGATAACCGATTCTGAGATCAATTTACCGGTATGTCACTGCTTCGGACCGATAGAACCGGAAGGGGTGGCGGTGTGATTGTTTACTATAATAGAAACCTCCGATGTGAAGTTATCGATCACCCGAAAATCCGAGCTCCTGATTCGCTTTGGTACTGCCTATGGTTGCGGAACTAGGACACATGTCTAATAGCCGTGATTTACTGCCCACTAAACCCAACGTCGAAAATGGACTCCACACTGAACCACGTTTTCCAGTTTGTTTTAAATAAGCTCTCCACCCACATTCTCATCGCTGGAGACTTTAACGTGCACGACATAGAAACGCCAGCAACCGACGGTACGCAGTTTAAAGCCTGCTTGCAAGAGCTGATTGCTAGCCACCCTCTGTACAATCACGTAACCTCTCCCACGACATTTCGAACTGCTCACAAACATTCGATACTGGATCTTGTGCTCACTGACGAAGAACTCATGGTTACGGGGATAGTTACAAGCAGACCACTGGGTCGTAGTGATCCTGTTACTCTACTTTCTGACTATATATGCTATGGGGAGTACCCTGAAAAGGAGGATGATAAAGTGCATACTGTTCCGCTCTACATTGGGATATCTAAGCTTGTTAAGGATACATCTTGGACGTTCTTAACCGAATGCCTCCTAGGTGTTGCCTGGGAAACCTTTACAAGGACGTTTAGCACACTTGTAGCGCAAGCATCGGAACAGAATTCCTTCCAACCCAAAAGCAAGCATAAGTCATTTCTGAGGAGCAGAACACGTAAATATATGTCCCGGAGGGATTTGTCATGACAAGATCACAAGGACTGCTCGAATACAGAAACCTGGACTGCATACATGACGCATCGTAACTTCTGTGTGAAACTGATCCGCAAAGACAAGGTTGCGCATCATCAGGAGTTAATGAAGCGATTTTACACGAACCGCAAACTCCTGCACAGGCACGTTAACAGCCTTCGAAAGGTGAAGTGGGGGGTTCCAGCACTAGTCAAGGCTGATGGATGCACGCGATCAGCAATGGAAGCAGCTGATCTCCTACCGCTTCATTACTCTCAAACTTTCCAGCAGGCAACGAGCCCAAACATTCTCCTCATTTCTTTTACTCTACCGTCGGGTTTAGACAACATCACCTTCATTACGGAAGCTGTGTTGAAGAAGTTATTATACTTGCGTATTCACAGTTCTCCTGGTGTCGACAACGTCCGACCAAAGGCTCTGCAGGCGGTAGCTAGTGATCTAAATAAAACAACTGGCTGTTTTCTATCAGCGATGTTTAGAAGAGAACCGTATTCCACCAGTATGGATGCGAGGGGTCATCACTCCTATTCGTAAAGGAGGTAGCCGCACTGATCCTGTCAACTACCGTCCAATAACACTACTTCCAATACTATCCAAGTTGATGGGATCAATCATCGCAGATGCGTTGATGCAGTGTCTGGAAAGCCACAACTTAGTAGCTCCAGAGCAACATGGCTTTCGTCAGAAGCATTCGTGTAATACTAACCTATTAATTGCACGTAACAGCTGGACTGAAGCTGTTGATGATGGAGCAGGAGACTATGTCATCTACGTGGACTTTTCAAAAAGCTTTTGATTGCTTAGACCATTGAATTCTCCTTCAGAAGCTTCGGAACTACGGCACTGGCGGCCCAATGCAGCGTTGGATTAGCAACTTTCTACACGAACGACGGCTAGCGGTGAGAGTCCGGGAATCATTGTCCGATACAATCAATATGTTGTGTGGGGTATCACAAGGCTCAGTTCTTGGACGTCGTCTATTCTTGGTGTTTATTAACGATTTGGCGCGATCGATTGCTTTCGATTTCCTATTTTTCGCTGATGATATCAAGATAGGGCGAAGGATCCGAGGACCGGACGACCACAAACTGCTTTATTGCGATCTTACACGGTATCGAACTGGTCAGTTCAAAAGGCTCTACCATTCAACGTAGACAAATGTCGCGTTGTACAATTATGCCATAGACATGACTACACCTATTCACTTGGGACAAACGGGTTGCAGACTAGCTCCTAGGAACATGACCTTGGTGTGCTCGTACAGAGCGACCTCAACTGTTCAAAACAGGCTGAGGTATCTGCGGAAAGTGGCAACCAGCACGTCGGCATGCTACGAAGGGCATTCGGGAGATTTTACCTATCCATCTTCCCAATGATGTACAATTCCTACGTGCGCCTGCATGTTGAATACGCTATCCAAGCTTGGCAACCTTGGTTGAAGCTCGACCTAGAAGTTTTAGAGGCACCACAACGAAGAGCAAAAAAGAATGTAAAGGCCTGCGCTGTCACTCGTACCACCGAAGGCAGAAATTGCTGGGAATTTTCAGCGGATGCCATGGGAGACTGCGCGGAGATCTCATATTAGCTTATCAGATACTGAATGGCCACAACCACGTATGCCGCCATTTTGCTAAAACTTAGCCACAACACGCAGCTCAGAGGTAACTGCTTAAAATTGAAGGAACAATATATTCGCTTACATTGTCGATGGAATTACCTTTTCCTTCGGGTTTGCAAACCCTGGAACGCACTCCCAGCCTCAGTTGTAGCCTCTCGTACCTTGGATGTTTTCAAAAACGATTAGGTGTTGCTCTTAGTTCCCAGCATTTTCTTCCCTAAACTCCTCTATTGTGGATTACGTCAAGCATGCTTTTCAACGGTTTTTTTGTATCAAATGGATCCAAGTGAGCGACCATATCTTACTTTCCCCACGCCTTATATGAACGATCACTGCCCCCCAGTGTCCTTCTGAACTTTTACGCTCGATTTTTTGCTTGTGCACTGATGTAATTTATCAAAAGTTATATTCTCTGCAGCCGTTTGATGGATGACCCAGATATAGTTTGATTTCATTATATTTACCTCAACCATCTTACGGGACCTGTAAATCACTTGCTTTTATCCTGTGATAAAACATTGTTCATTGCCGGTGAAATACTTTATCGTACGCATTTGGGACGGCATGGTATTAAACCACTATTTCTTGCAGCACGAACGGACGTAAGTCTAAAATTTGGAGATCAGCGGATGCAAAATCATACGCAAAATTATTTTGTCTTTATTGTATGCACTATATAAAGGAATAACTGCAATAACAGCCAGACATCCTCTAAAATCACACGTTACGTTGTGCATTTCACAACGAGTTTATACCGTTGTCTTTTCTGACAATTGGTGACCAACCCTAGTTTCCGGGATCTCAGTGATGTCTTTATTTATTGAGACGCGGCACATGAACCTATCCCTTGACAACATAGTTCAATTAACTCTTACCTCTCCCACATGATGTTATTAATGTAGTGGGGAAAGCATGAACTCAAATTCGCTTTCAACTTACTATTACTGACTCATATTCGCAATATCTTATCGACTTACGCGGGTAGGTTGATACCAGTTAAATTGAAGTGCAGCTAAGTTGAATAATGTACCATTCACTCTCACAGACGATCCAATTCAAGCATCAGTGCTTCCATGATAGCACGTTTGCATGAGCTTCGTTCAAAGTTCGCTGAGCGCACTGAGACAATTCGGGCAAAAACTCTTCAGAAAACGTTTTCATGCGAATCTGACAACGAGGAGCATGCCAGCCAAACGGAAGAGAGTAAGCCACCGACTTCTTGTTAATCTGTCGGATTTCCGTTTATCTTTACTTGAATTAGTTTTAACGAGCTTGTAATCGAGGTCTTTTCTTTTGGATTCTCCGTGGCAACTTTATTTACAGTACTTGTTTGCACAGTACGTTAATTTGAATATCAGAAGCCAGTGAGCCGGATCATAAACCAGAGAAAGTCTTAAGATAAGTAGAGTAATGATTGGCTAGATCACGTGTTTTGATTTCACCCTTTTCCTATAGCAACTGAACCTCTTAAGACCGAAGACAACCGAGTGCAGTTTAACGCACAGCTGGGTGATGCTGGTAGTCCCGAGAAGAAAGGAACATGGCGAAAAAGGTATCCAGGCAGAAAGCTGGTTCTTCGTCGTCCCTTCTGTACCGCATGTCTGGCACCGCATCGCAAGCACTTTGTTGTTATTGCCAAAAAACCACTGATAAAAATTGAAACCTTCTCAAGAAAGGAACACGACGGAATAAAGCCTGAAGTGTCTGAGGCAACGGTTATGGAAGAGATACGTACGCAACATACCATTTTGTTTTATTTTCTGTGTCACAATACACTCATATATTTTCTTGCTTGTAAGCAAATCCTAATGATGATTACGAAGAGGCAATGTCATACGTAGACCTCAAATTTCCCCATGGTTGCACAGAAAAAAAGTGAATGCATTGCACGAGAGCAGCGCTAGTCATGCAATAAATATCTCTTTGAAATAGGCTTGGTACAGCCTGGGATTTTATGATGTCAAAACGTTTTAACACAAAACGGTTTTTGTAGATTTTTATTGTGGCAACATTTCCCTCTTGACACAGGGCGAAGAAGATGCCTAAAGAAGCACTTGCGTCATGAGCGAAACGTTGCCACAATAGAAAAATCCTACAAGAACCGATTTGTATTCAAACACCTCCTTGACTTGGGGCAAGTGCTAGCTGGCAAATACAGGATGACGTCGAGCGTTTCGGCGCTGCAGTCTTCCATAATGATTGATAAAACGGTACGATAAAAACGGTACGATAAAGCGTTACTATTACTACGTTTCCAGTAAGGATATTTCACATGGCTGAGATCGTCCAGATGGCAGAAACTGGCCGATACGGACTGTTACACTACCTTCTCAGGCCAGCATACGGATACAGTTGCAAATACTTCCAGTGTCTGGAAAGTTATGTCTCATGGCATCACACATTTCAAAAACTTTTGCGGAAAGCATAAAAGGTAGTAGCTTAGATATTGTGTTCTAACCCACGGTTTAATTCAGTGCGGAGCGTGTGTTAGCAGCACGCACTAATTTAGGTCTATTCGGCTACAGATAGAATGTAGTGAGCATTTGCAATCCAAGGAGATTTCACAGATTTATATTATAATTTTTATCGAGAATATACCGTTTATTTATTTATTTTATTTATACTCATGTTTATATTTTGGTAAACTAGTAAACCATTAGCTTGGGTAACTAAGATAGAGGGATAAGGGCTTTGCCCTACGGGAAATAGATACCGCTGCATTGAGCTGGTCAGACGCAGAAAAACTGGTTCCTGTAAGACTTGAAATATTCTGCGTACCCCACGGAAACACTTCTTAAGCGGATGCCTGTTGTCCGCTCTCAACACTGCACTCCACGACCGATTTCGCACACTTGCGGCCTATCAGGCAACAACAACAACAACAACAACAACAACAACAACAACAACAACAACAGGACTGTGACTAGAACCGGAAGAGTTTGCGATACCAACCCGTCACAAAGAGTGTGATACTTAACAGGGTGAGAAGGTTTGCATACCTCTTCGAACTACTGAGTTATACTGTGTGGTGCCCCAGGGTCCCTTGTGTGCTACGCCTACCATGTTGCCTAATGGTCATAGTTCAGTCAAACTCAGTCTCCTGATTCTCCGGGATAAGTGTTTGAAATGGGATGACGTCCTTTTTTGTGATACCAAATTATTGTCACCTCACCGCTGCATTGCGGACAGGCTTTTGAGACCCTAAACATTCTCCTCTCTAGGTCTGAACGCCCTGGTAGTATAGTAGCCTACCTACAACCATGACTATATCTTCAAACTTCAACCACATCTTGCATGGGTTGTAGCGCAGCTTAGCAAGCGCCGCCTTATCTGCTATACGCAGTAGCTCGTATAAGTGCAAGCATGCTATTGTTGGCGCCTCCAATCTTTTATACTTGATTCTTCTGACTCCAATCACTAAGGTTCCTTTCAGTAATCCCGGCTTAATTAACAGCAGTCGCTGGAATCAGACCATTTGCAGTTAGCTTCCAGAAAGACACAATGGACGCCTGTCGGTAACCTGCCCTTACAAGGCCACGCTGTCCCATTTCCATGGCAGCATTCGAGGTTTGCACTCGAGCGCACACTGCACACACTGGCTATTGACGGATGTTATATGTCCGATACTAGGAACATTGACCCTCGGGTGGTTGTTGAATTAACTGCGCTCGGCTTGTATTCACGATATTGGTTGCACGCATCCAGAGAAGCTGATACGGCAGCCACTGGTCAAGATATGGTTGGCATTGTTTTCAGCTGCAAGAATGAGTCTTTGTTGGTTGAATGGATGCCCGTGAACAGCAGTTGGTGTGCAGCCCGTTTGACGACATAAACTAAGGTTGGTTCACGACATAGTATAGAAAGGTGTTTGTTTGCGGTTTTCGCTTATGCCCCCCACCGACTGTAGCTCTGATTTTGCCAAAGACACCTTCTACCACGAACTGAACACGCCATTACGCAGTGTTATTAGTTTATATATCATACTTGTTGCAGGAGTCGTGAATGCGCAGTTAGGTAGTCTGAGCTCTTTAGAAGCTCAGCAAGGTGGTAAGTATACACTCAAACCGGACAGACAACTGCGAGCGTCTGTTGCAACTTTGCGTTTATCACCGACTGTTTCTTAGCAGCACCGCTATTAGGCACAGTGGGCGCCGAAGTGACACTTGGCGTCCCCCTGTAGGTGGCTAGCGATGGACCCAATTATATCACGTTACCAGCAATTACAGTTGGCGGGGTTCCATTCTGGATTGTCGCTGTTTTTGGCGTACTTATTTCAACACGAATCATGCTTTGCTACTATGTGGTTTTTCCATGACATTTCTCGGGAGGTGACCGAGCACCTCCTCTGAATGGTAACTGAGAAGTTATCCCAGCCCTCAGACAGGCAAGCCTATCAGGATAATTCCTTACCGAACTTTCGCTCTCTCTTTCTCTCGTCCGGAAGGCACTGAGTTTCAATGAAATAGGATCTTGGTTTCCATGCGCGATGCTTGAGGCCTCTGCTTGAGGCCTCTCAATCGCCAACCCATCGGTCACTGGACATACAAGAAGTCGGTGAACCTGTTGGAATCCAGAAGAATACTACCGTCTGGCTCTACAAATTACGTAACCAGACGGACTACTAGGCACGAACTAAAACGAAGCCTGCGTGCCGACAAGGAATCCTGGTGGACCCAGTCTGGCTGAAGAACTGGCGGAGGCGTGCAGAATAGGTTAGTATCGCAAGCTCTTTCAGGTGATCCGCCCCACTGGTCCCAAGAAACCAGACGTCAGAGAGACAATCCGTTAGCGCTAGCACACCTGTTCAAACTAGGAGGCATCACATGGCTGGTTGGGTGGAGCCTTTTCGTGATTAGTTCAGTTGAAACCCCTTTTCCGGACCCCATCTTACTCAGGTGATACGAATTGAGCTATGGACGGTTACTTTAGTTTGTGTGCAGGAGACTGCGCTTCGAAACACGATAACAGCCCTTCATTGTTGTTGTGTTGCTGACCCGGAGCCTCTCGCATCCGCACTACCAGCCAGTTGATAATCCACTTATTCCTGATTACGGGGAACTTGAGGTGGTTGATCAGTTCGCTTAGCTTGGCACCTGAATCAATAACGATGGGCGCACAACAACCAAAGTTAGTTTAAGCGTTGCAAAAGCTAGAGCTGCCTTAGTTAATCTGCGACAACTGTGGTTTCAGAAATGGGTTCTTCTCTGTCTGAGAAGTCGTGTTTATAAGGCCACAGTGAGGGCCGTTCTACCGAGAGTGAAATTTTGTCCCTTCGATCTCATGATTTGAGGTGTCTTCAAATCGTCAATCATCGCTGTCTACGGAGCATATCTAGTGTTAGTGGCACCAGCGTGTTCGCAACGATGATGTACGTAGGCCAGTGCAAGGCAGTGATAATCGCACTTGTTCCTAAGAACAACAGATAGCACTTGATAAGTTGCGTTGGCTTGGCACGTACTAAGTATTCATGGTCATCACTTACCGAGAACGGCATTGTTTTGTTGTTGCAGATGTAGGGTGGCACATAGCTCGAGGTTAAGAGAGTTGACTTGTTCGGCTGGAAAAGAAGTCAGTTTCCACAGCACTTTGTGCCGTTGTACCTTCTCGTCTTCCTGCCTGAAGTCCGCATGACGCGCCTTGTGCTTGGCTCGAGAAATTACAGGACATTACTCACCGGCGACACAAATGGCTCTTCTGCTATCGTCTCATAGTCGGACTGCCTGTTCAAAGTGTGTTTATGGCTGAAATATATGTGGTTGTGACGCTGGACAGGGGAATCGGCAAGAAAGCTGTCACGCTAATCTTGCGTTATCCTTGCATGATAGTGTTATAATTGAGGGAACGCCTCTTGGTATGATTGCGTAATTGCCTGATAAGATTGTCGCTGGCACGGTTGGAGCACGCCTACGATGAGACTTGTAGCGCTGGCCAATCGAACGTAGTTCCGCTGACCTGATGACGCTAGCTTAGCCGGTGAGACGGAAAATTGAGCGAGTGTGTGAACGATCCTGGCCGCACGTGTTCGAATAGAAGCTGAGCCCTCGGTACGGACGCACACGAGAGGAGGGTTATGATAGACGCGCGCTAATGACTTAGACGCGAAGGCTGGCCAGCTAACAACTCACACGCAATCACGTGACCCGACCGACTCCCAAGTAAGGCGAAGAGGAAAGAAAGACACGCGGTCCTCTGTAGGCTCTTTTACGACCAACAAAGGGCGAATCACAGCCAATGCTATGGGTCATTAAGTAAGTGAACATTTCTACCAGGACGAGGTGGTAGTTTGTGAAAGGCCATTGTCGAAAGGTGCGTAGTTGGGCCGCGTTTCGGAGTGGCTGATCACTGCTACCTTGTGGAGAGGAATTGGACCCTGCTTCCCACAGTCACTCTGCCGGGATTTCTGGTGCGTTTTTGCGGGGATTTTTGACGGGCCCGCAACAGATAGCCAGCTGTTTGTAATGGTAGATTTTACACTAGGGGTTTGTTTAGTCCGTTAGGATTTTGCACAAGGTCCACCTTCTCTCCTTCTTATTATTCTTCGTTCTGTAGATCTTTATAATTTTACGGCAGCGAATGGATTATGTACGTTTGTAGATCATGTGATACCGACCGAAACTATGTGAGCCGCAGGCAACGTTCGAATGAACATGACCGGGTTTCACCGCACGTGTTTCAGAATGCGTGTCACGATTTCTTCAAACTGAAATCAATAACAGCCACGTCAAATTTTACTCCCTCCAACTGACCCTGGGAAATCAAAGTCGTCTACATAGTAATCACTAAGCTATGCTGGGACTGTTCTATGTAATAAAGTGAGGCACTGATTGGGTTAACATCCTGTTTTATTGGTAGTAAGTTTAGGTAACATTATCTATATGTTAACTGAAACATGAGTCTACTGGGACGGTGAGCACTGTACATAAGTTGCTGATATGACTAGGTGAAAATGATTAACGGACACTACAGGTATAATAACAATGAGACCAACTGATGCTGTCGTTCTCTTTGCTCATGAAAACTCAGTAATTTAATTGTGGGAATTATGGTAAATATTGGGTAGTTTAACTTATTTCATTTTTTCGCAGAACAAACAAAACCTGCTTTAACCACATTTTCTGAGGACGGCTAACGCAAGGTTTCTACCTTCGGTGTGTCCAGTTACAAAACGGTGCATCATGGTAGAATGTAAGATTCGGCTAACCTAATGATTGAACTTTCAATGCTCTTGTTAATATTTCAGCAGAAATAATTGGTCAAGATTTCGTCGAGATGAAGGAATATCAATTGTCCATCCCAGCGTGGATACCTGACCCAAAGGCTGTGCTTCTGATGTGCTTCTCCCCACACGGTGAGTAGAGATTCCAAAATTAAAACAGCATAATAAATAAATAATGAAGCAATAAACGTTTACTTCCTCGATGGTGCGAGGCACAATCCAACTGAGTTGACTGCTCAGTTTGTTCAATGGGATCGCATAAAATAGTTGCTTGTTCATGTTTTGTACAACGGGTCCCAAATGGGTTTTTGAAGTGAATGACAAGTTGTGAGCATTTGAGGGAGTAAGAACCTGGAAACAATAACAAATGCAGGTTTAGCCAAAAGTTCGAGTAAGGTAATATGGCCATCCATGGAATCGTCCCCAAGGGACCTGCTTCCATGCGGGTTACTCCCTCGATGAGTTTCACACGCACTTCCATGCTCCAACTGGTTATGTGCCGGTGTGGCAAAATGGCATGTGAGCCATTAACTGTTTCACAAATGTTTTTAGAATGGCTGATTTATACATACATTCTGGGCTTAGTAGTGTTTTAAGCAATGGACACTGCAGCTAGCGTGATCACGTAATAGACGATTTTTTACTAAAACCACAATCATTTGCGATGAAAAATTAATTATAAGCAATTATATTTTACCACTCAGCTTTTTAGTGTTGCACAGGCTTTCTCCGTATTAACCTCGTTGAGACATAATGTAACTGTCACCATCATTATCCGAGATCACACGATAGAAAAAGCTTATTTTACAGAAAAGTTTGGTGAACAACTGTAAGGGTGAATCCTTACGTTTAGTTAACACAAAGGAAGAATGTTGAATCTCACGTGGGAGACGACATGTATCACTGACACGAAACAGAAGAACGAGATGGTCGATCGCAGCCCTACTAAATGCAGGCAGTGACCCTGCTGAGTATAACTAACAAACCACCTTAGAAATCATTACAACTCTTTGCGAACGTTGTATACGGCAAACCACAGTGATAAGTTCCATGAACGCGCATACACTTAAGGAATACAGGTGATTTATGACAGATATTTAAGGGGCACAGCACTTCTTGATAGGCTACAGGAATCTAGCGCATCCTTTTTGATAAGGCGCTCCACTGCAGTTTGTTTGTAAGAAGTTACGAGAAATTATGCAACTGCAACAGTTCGCTACAGATGAACAAAACGATGTGCATTATTCTATATTCACGCATCTGCAGGAACCAAAATGCGCCTAGCTGTTGAGCAGAGTACCCGAATATTGACCCGTTGTATTTCATGTACTTCTTAGGTCGCTATGCAACAAGCAAAGAAAATTGTTTTGGTAGAAATCATTGCACATACCTACTATGTTATACAAAGATCATGCGTCATATATAAAAACAACTAACCATAGACATTACACATTAAGTTTTCACTAATTACGAAGTCAAAATTAAAACAAACATCCACCTTAATGAAAATGGCATCGTAAATGGGCGATTTTGTAAATGTTATGGTGGCGCAGCAGCTTGTTGGATTATAGCCCGGTATGATGATGGTCCACCTACTAGTTGCACAAAAAGGAACCTGTTTAATACCACTGCAGTTTAGCATCACTATCCGAGTTCTCCTTATGAGATGGAGATAAAAACACATGTCATATGGGTTTAAGTATTCACTGTATGTCTACAATTGAACTACAAGTATCAACCTTGATACCGCTCTTCTCGCACTTCTTTCTTATCCTCGCTTTTTCCAGACACATTCTATCTCGTTTGGCTTTTAGGACTCATGCTTGCAGTCCTATATAATTACATCACCATTCCGCTACGTGAGGCATTCGACATTTATGATAATGAGAAATATCGAGTGTACTGGTATTTCGGCAACGCCGCTGCTGATGTTTTGTATTTGGTCGACCTGTTAATCGTGAAGCCGCGATTGGAATTTCTCGATCAGGGTATCATCGTGGTAAGTCGAGGCAAGTCACTCTATCAATATAGTCCGAGTACAAACTATGTTTCAGAAATTATCTCAAGAGCAGACAATTTGTGGTAAGTATACACCCTTCAAACAGTTCACTGATTGAGTGAGTCTTGAAAGTATTTTTTGAGATAATATATTTACCGCTAGACCTCGTTCGAAGTAATCAAGATGGTTTGTTTTGTTTAGAGTTGCTACTTTTTGAACAATGCCTCATATGGATATCTGACTGATGAGGCAAGTGCGAATCGCTTTACCCCTTGGTCGGCCACATACATCAGAGTTCTAGGACGAAAGTCTAAATGTACGCAAAGCACCAAGTTATGTAAAGCCCGAATAAGCTTCGAGCATATGAATGGGTACGTTCTCGGGGTTTATAGTGTTAATATGGATTGGAACACAATCAAACTTGATCTGTAAATAAGGAATAAGATGCTAAGTAGAAAATGCATACGCACAACAATTAAGCAAATAACTGTGCAAAGCATTGACTATTTTCATTTGGCCAAAACGTATGTGGTAATGTGTGGTACGAGAACTAGTGGGGTTTTGTATAGATCAACATACAGTTAGTGGAAGAAGTGAAGCAAATCCAGCACAAGTGAGAGTATGCTTGTTGACAATCAAACCAACGACGGCCTCTCTAGCCGATTAGCTGCATCTAAATATAAATTCTAAAGACCGTACAATAAGTGCTCAATATTTATCTGGTAGTCCTAGGACCCGTATGAAAGTAGAGTAAATTCAGTCTAGTAGAAAGCGTGTGTTGTCATGCAATAAAAAGTAAAGCCAGAGCGCAGGAAGATAACCTGTCAACCCTGTCAAAATTTACCGCGACTTGCATAGACCAAAGTAAGTTTTGAGCAAAATATTTCCTATGTACTTCAGCGCTGACGATCTGGATATAGTTTAGCTGCTCGTTGCATTCAGAGAAAGGTCCCTAGCTCATTAAGACGGCTGAAAGAGATTGTTAATTCGAAACATTTATAAGCGTCTAGGAGGAAGACGATCAATGTACTAGATAATCCAGAGTTGAATTGGAATCAAATGTCTCCTTGGTCGAAGTGATATATCCCGAAGCGAAGTTGTCAGCATTCTTGGATCCAATTAATTTGGAAACTTCGAGACATATGTCAATGTATGCAACAAACAGAGGAGAATGTGTTGTTATCTGATAAACTTCCCGGTATCTACGAAGCGCGGAGGACTTTGCTTCGTTTGTCTGAGTGAAATAACTGCACTTCTTGAAGTTGACTTCAAATACGATCAACTATTGTTTGAAGCTCATTCGGTATTAGCCGGATGAGGATGTTTTATCTGGCAACATTCCCGCTAGTATTCTAACAATGGAGCAATAGTTTATAATGGATAAAAAAGCAAATGCTTGCCAGATCCCGTAAGGGGGTCAGTGTAACACTTACAAGATAAAAACGAATAACGACAAAACACACGAAAATTACATAAGTGACCGAGAGATTTACAGTAACACAGGTGCTAGTATTTCCGACTTGAATTTAATAGGTTTGTGACACTGTTCACTAGTTGTTCTGCACTCATGCCTTCATCTGATGGTCATGGGACTGTGTCAGCATGTCGTCAAGTCACCATTGAATAGTGGTAAGGTGAAGGCAGTATTTACATGTGCTGAAGGAGTGTTTCAGGGCTGGGACATCCAGAAGCAGAAAGAGGTTCGGCGAGGTTTTATCTACTGCACTGCATGGCCAGCTTCCCATTGATGGGCGTTGGCTGAGTTGCAAAGGTTGAGTATATGGTTGGTTGCTACAGCATGACAATATCATTACCTATACGACCATCACTGCCTCTGTATACTCCTACATTTTTCAACCTTAGTTAGATGGGAAGGTGAGACAAACCTTTTAGCTTATTCGTCGCTCTGTGTTGCGCAGCCTCGAGTGTGGCGAGGTGCCAGTTCTGCCAGGGTTGCAACGCTTGGATAGCGTATTCTACTTGCGGCGCAATAGATGCGCTAAGCATTTAAGAGAAGATTGAGGCGTCGAACCTCCCAAAAGCCCTACGCAGCAGGCCGAAGTGCTGATTTGTTTTCATTTAAGCCTTTTCGGTCTGCCTGAAACCGCCTCGGTCATCTTGCATAAGCACGCCCAGATCGCATCCATGAGAAACCCGATATAGAACGTGTCATCCTATCCGGTAGCCGTGAGTATGGCCTATGCCAAGAAGTTTTCAGTTTCGCGGGGTTGTGCCAGAGCATGTTTTCGGTAGACCATGTGAATGCTTTGTCCAGATTATCTTGCAGGGCTGTTTAGTACACCAAGGTCGAGTTAGCACACCATATTTTTAGTTCATCTGCAAATATCATGCAATTTTCAGAGAGTACGCCGCACTAGACTTCTAAATGATCCGCTAGAATGCTGCGAACAATCAGGTTCAGATAACGTTGAAACAGGAAGTTGTCTATCTAACTCAGAACAGGATCGCCGATTCCATAACTCTAAGATCTGTGAACTAGTTTGATGATCCATGCAGTTGAAAGCCTTTGAGAAATTCAGTTGACGACATATTTTGCCACAACAGCCGTCCATCATGCGTGCGCTCAGTAGTAGTAGTAGTAGTAGTAGTAGTAGTAGTAGTAGTAGTAGTAGTAGTAGTAGTAGTAGTAGTAGTAGTAGTAGTAGTAGTAGTAGTAGTAGTAGTAGTAGTAGTAGTAGTAGTAGTAGTAGTAGTAGTAGTAGTAGTAGTAGTAGTAGTAGTAGTAGTAGTAGTAGTAGTAGTAGTAGTAGTAGTAGTAGTAGTAGTAGTAGTAGTAGTAGTAGTAGTAGTAGTAGTAGTAGTAGTAGTAGTAGTAGTAGTAGTAGTAGTAGTAGTAGTAGTAGTAGTAGTAGTAGTAGTAGTAGTAGTAGTAGTAGTAGTAGTAGTAGTAGTAGTAGTAGTAGTAGTAGTAGTAGTAGTAGTAGTAGTAGTAGTAGTAGTAGTAGTAGTAGTAGTAGTAGTAGTAGTAGTAGTAGTAGTAGTAGTAGTAGTAGTAGTAGTAGTAGTAGTAGTAGTAGTAGTAGTAGTAGTAGTAGTAGTAGTAGTAGTAGTAGTAGTAGTAGTAGTAGTAGTAGTAGTAGTAGTAGTAGTAGTAGTAGTAGTAGTAGTAGTAGTAGTAGTAGTAGTAGTAGTAGTAGTAGTAGTAGTAGTAGTAGTAGTAGTAGTAGTAGTAGTAGTAGTAGTAGTAGTAGTAGTAGTAGTAGTAGTAGTAGTAGTAGTAGTAGTAGTAGTAGTAGTAGTAGTAGTAGTAGTAGTAGTAGTAGTAGTAGTAGTAGTAGTAGTAGTAGTAGTAGTAGTAGTAGTAGTAGTAGTAGTAGTAGTAGTAGTAGTAGTAGTAGTAGTAGTAGTAGTAGTAGTAGTAGTAGTAGTAGTAGTAGTAGTAGTAGTAGTAGTAGTAGTAGTAGTAGTAGTAGTAGTAGTAGTAGTAGTAGTAGTAGTAGTAGTAGTAGTAGTAGTAGTAGTAGTAGTAGTAGTAGTAGTAGTAGTAGTAGTAGTAGTAGTAGTAGTAGTACGTAACAGATTTCGATGGAATCCGCGTTGAATCAGCGCGAGAATTTTGTTATTCACCAGGTACTCAGTGAGTACCAGCCACGATGGGTTCAGTAATATTGCAGATCACCGGATTTAGCGGTGTTCGCGATAATTCGCTTTTCTGCACCGCCGCCACTCTTGTAGCTTCGGGTGATTATTACGTGTATCTACATCATGGGAACCTGCATACCATTTGTTGTGTGCGAAAGGCCCAATGCACGAGCCGTAGTGAGCACGTCACTCCGGTAAACGAACTACTGTAACCTGATAAATGTCTAACTGGGTGAGTACATTAAGGTGACGCAAGGAGAAGGATGAACCAATAGGGAAGCAGAGAATTAGACGCTTTGTGTGCGTGTGTGTCTAGGGTTGTGTGCACGTGTCTGTTTAGACTAGCCGTCAAGCGTGCTGACATTATACACAACATCACCTCTCCGCTTAATCATGTGATGTGTCTAAACCATAAAAGTTTGGTCGTCTTTGTCCTCTGCTCGTCCTGCGGAGCTGCGTGCTTTGCGTAGTTTCGTCAGTGAAGGTTGGTGGCAAATGCTCCGTTCTTCTGATACTTGTGACTAATCCCCGAGCACTGACTGTGCGGTCATCCTCCAGCCAGTAAGTGCCTGGCCCACATGCACGCGTTATTCTCATCGGATCTTATAACGTGGGCTGTCTTTTTGATGCAGCCTGTACATCCGCACGAACGTTCCGGGCTGGGGCGGAGTGGCAAGCTTCTGGTAAGTGATCTGATATCGATGGCGACGATCTAACTCGTCGGAATTCTTGGTTGCAGGAATAGAAAGTGAGGTATACAACTTTATCCGAAGTGCACGCCCAAGCATCAGTTCGGCTGGCGTTTTGTCTGTGGTTTGATAGTGTGTGATTCAGTAAGAAAATAGTGCTTGTAGAACTGCATCCTCCCAACCTGTACCAGATAAGCGAATTGTTTGGATACTCACTTTCAAGGATTGATTGAACCTCTCTTCCATGCCTTTTGCCGCTCGATTATACTGCGTTATACATGAGTGCCGGATAGAGTGAAGTTAAAGGAACGAAAGAAAATCGTGGTTTGTAAACTGCGGCTCGTTGTCCGTCAGTATCTCTTCTGATAATCCGAAACGGGAAAACATGTAGTTCAGCCATCGAATAATGCTGGCAGTATTCACCTCTCCACACAAATGGACTTCCGGCCACTTACTCTAAAAGCAGGTTGCCACCAAACAGTTTCTTTGATATTGAGGAGCTGAGCTAAATGGACCCATGATGTCAAGAGCTATCTTGGTCCACCGTCGCATAGGATATCAATGGATTGTATAGGGGATGACACCGGCCTTGAACTCTTGTCTGCCCTTTGACATGAAGAGCAGTCATGAGCAACTTTTTCTGTTTCGTGTGGCATTCTGGGCTGCCAGAAGCATGCGTCAATCTTGCGTTTCGTACGAACGATACCAGGGTGACTTTCGTGAGCACATGGAATGATCTTTTGTATCAAGCTCCGATGAGTCACAAATGTTTCGCCGCGCATTAAACATCT